AAAAGTAAAAAAAATAAAGTAAAAAAAACTAAAATAAAAAAAAAAGAGAAATCATCCTGTGTGCTTACTTTCTTTCTAGTGTTGAATACGTTCTGTATCTGCCTGCTTTTATCCTATCTCCAGTGCCTTCAAGTAGTTGCTCTTTGTGTTTTTTCCAGAGTTAGTAGTTGTTCTCTTCAAGAGCGTTGGCATACTAAGTACTTACTCATTAAGATGAGAAACAAAATTCTACTTGCCTTTACTTTTATGGAAGTTATAACCCCATAATATTAATAAAATATTTTTATGCAATTTAAACATTTTATCTAATGCCTACTGAATCACTGATTAGATGGAAATTAATGCAGGGAATATAAAATTATATAGGCACCTTAAGAAGAAAATTTAATTCAAGAAATTATGTACCTACAAATTATTGGAAAGTTTGAAACAGTCAAGAGTCTGTCACTGGAATTACTGATTTTAGGAGCACTTGATCACAGCTAAAATCCAGAGGCCAAGGAAATGCTGCTGCTGCTGCTGGAGTAACATTTTTACAGTTTTCTCACAATGCCCACAACAGTTTGGAACATAAAATGAGTCTAATTCCTATAATATACTCTCAACATTCAGATTCTTATTATTTTGGTTCTCTGTGCAAGCAAGATAAAAGAAAGATGACCTCAAATTTGCCTCCTTTTTCACTATCATAAGGCAAACTAGGAAAGGAATTAAATTGAAATAAAGGAGAAAGAAAAGGTAAGAAAAGAGATGAATTGAGCCTCTGGTGATGTCATAGTCTATGATTCACCAAATTTGCCTGCAACGCATCATTTGATGTTCTGATGTTTGTTCAGGTATGGGAGTGATGAAGTGGATTCCATTTCCTTTGTATCTACTTAGCCTAATTTAACTTGGTATTTTTTTTTTTTTTGCTTTTTGTGTTGCAATAGACATAATTTATCCTGGAACCATTTCAAGCATGTTAGTCAAGGAACAAACCCTTCCATCCTTTGTCATATGCTGGGCAAAAAGCCCTGTTAAATCTCACACATGTCTTCAACTTCTATCTAGAAAGAACCTTGATTGAATTTAACTGTGTGAGACTGAGAATCTTTTGAATTGCATGGCTAAAAGCAGAAGTTTAAGACTTTCATCTTGATTTTCTTTTCCTGCTATTTGGATAAAGCTAACTTACTGAATAAGATATCTAGCACAAAATGTGAAAGAAAGAGAAAAAAATATGCATTTATTCAACAAATGTTCATTGAATATTTATGTATCAGGCAATATTCTAGAGATGGGGATCAAACATTTAGGAAAACAGGAATATTTTCCTATGGAGTTGGAAAATAGAGATATGTAAATTAAAAATATAATCATAAATGCACAGAAAACTGTGATACATGTTAAAGAGAAATACATGTTGAAGAGAAAAAGTAAATTATGGATGTGGACCAGGTTGACCTCTGAGTCAAGACTCAGGAAACGATGCAGTGCAAGTCTCTGAACTGAGCCCTGTCTGATCAGAGTTGTCTTGAGCTTCCCAGTTATTTAAGCGAACAGAGTCCCTTTTCTCGTGCTGGATTGTATCGTGCTTCATTCACATGAAAATCTAAACTGCTGACAACATGCAACGGTCTTCTTTTTATAATTTTTAAGATGTATTCCTTACTATTTCGATTTCTATTTATCACTTATGTGCAAGGTGTGTTTTGTGTATTGGTTTGGGTTCTCCAGAGAAACAGAACCAAGAGAATATATACACATATATTGTATTCACAGGAGTTGGCACACACAATGATGGAGGCTGTCCTCAGTCCATAACTGGGTCAAGAAGTGATTCTAGAAATGTGACTAACTGCAGTATTTTTCAGATTTATTTCTGCTCTGATACCTCAGAGGTCTTTGGACAGGTTTCTTCAAAAGGCTGTGCAGCACCAAGGCTGAGGACTTGGCTAGCTCCCTGTGGAGAAACGCTTATTCAGGGCGATGCGCTGAGCAGACCAGACGGCAGGGAAACCCAGGAATTCAGCAGCTCTTGGGAGGGACTGTTGTGCACATGTGAAAATTTCTCAAAGCAGCAGTGGCTGCTGTCAGATCTCTGTTGGTAGCCTCTGAAAATGGTATAACTGGAAATAAGAAGACTCTGAGTCAATAACCATCTCATTTAGGAGTTTCTGCTGCTCTGAGGACCACTGCTGGGGACTGCCAACAAGAACATCTCTGCTGGGAGCCAGTGATGGGTCTGAGACAGAGTCGAGTGGGGAAGACCTTGATCTTAGTGCCCGCAGTGCTCCCTGAACCTCCTCTTCTGAGTCAGTCATGACTTCCGAGGGAGGGTAGAGACGGTGAATTTTTCTTCATTATCTCATAGAAGAGGAAGAATAACAATTTCTAGGAAATTTAAAAGTGTAGAAATTGTGTTGGCTGACTCCAGCAATAGAGAACATGACTTTAACTTTATTTCAAATACAGGATATGAAAACAGTAGTACATAAACATAGAACAGGCACTTAATATTTTTTTTCTTCATCCTATTCCCCTATCATCTACCTTGGGTCAGTCTATCAGAGAACTGCAGAAAAGAATTGGGGTAATTAGGGGGCGAGCCCTCCAGGAATCTACACTACGGTATTTTAATCCTATTCCCTACCCTTGAGGCAGACATTTGATTGGAGCAAGCTGGGGAAAAGTGGAATTATCACCTCTGTGACCTGCACCCAAACACTCCACAACTTTCCTTCAGTCCTTGAATCTGCTCTTTGCTGCTGTTCTGCAAAATCTGTTTTGCCAGCTAAGATAGCACTCTTTTCTTCATCCCGCACGCTGTACTCCTATGCCCTTCTTGTTGGTGCAGAAACTGAACTTGCGGGGCTCAGATGAACCCAGACTACAAGGAAGAACTTAGTTTCTTCTTTTGCCATGATAAAGCAAGGCTTTATTTGCCCTGGTGAAGCCCAAGGAAGAAAAGGGCTTCTTCCTCACTTAACGACCTCAGAAAATACAGCCTTGGGTTACTTCCTGTAATGCGGATTTGCCACATTTACTTCTCGTTTCCTAATCTGCAACAGCCTTCAGCTTCTAATGAGCTACTGGGCAACCTGGGATTCATTCGTTGCCAACTAATTGCCAATGTTTGTTAGTTTTCTCCTGTTTCCTTTTTATCCTATTGGACCCATGAGATTCAGGATCCATGTTGTTTTCTGCATTTACTCATTGAAAGGATTGGAACTGTGCCAAAAATGATGTTGCAATAAAGGCTCCCTGAAGTTTTGGAAAATATAAATATGAATCAGCGTGTTGGGGCCACAGCTAATAAAAGACAAAAGAAAAGATCTTCAATGATGCTTTAGGGGATACTTCTCAGAATTCTCAGCAGAGGAGGCGGGACTACATTGGGGTACTGAGATGTCAGTGGTAGAAAGAAATAGAATGGAGCCATTTCAGAATTAGAAATGACGGTAGGAATATTAACTTTGGAGTCTTATTTGATTAGAAGATTTCTAGGTTTCACCAAATTCTAATAGCTATATGCTAGGGAATATAGAGAAACAGGTCTGTTGGACTGAAGAAGGCAAGGTGATTTACTATTATTTCACTTAAGAATGGTACTTTATTTAACCTAAGATAGATACAATTTAATGACTAGGCATTTATTAAATTCAAGTATTCGTTAACTTAATATATCAATACGTCAATATATTACTGAATGAATACATTGATGGAAGCAATGACTTGTCTACTCAGAGAACATGTCAAATATAACCATTAGTCTGCTGGTCACTATGCTCCTCTCAGTCAGGAAAATGAAACTGATACTTCTGCTTCATGCCCTCTCTTGAAAGTGAGGGAACCCAAAGCAAAAACACTCTAGATGATTTGGATTAAGAAATATACTTTAAAAGTGTAGGATCAAACTTCAGTTGTCTCGATATTTCATTTTGTGGACTTACTGTATAGCCCTAAATACCCTAAATATTGCAATTAGCAAGTATATTAATCAAATATATAAATATCAGAATGAAAAAAAATTCAGTTGTCTCTTCACTTGAGTTACAGTAGGTAAAGATTTTCTTTTCGTAGTCTACTTCTATGCCTTATGTTTTTCAACTATTTGTTCTGATGTTTTTTAAAATTATGTTACAAATTCAAACTTGATTTTAGTTGAATTAAGGCAAAAAGGATTTATCTATACTTTAGTAAGGAAAAATTGAAGGAGTGGAAACTCCTTGAGGTCAGGTGTGTCCAAAGGCAATGTTAAGTTCTGTTGGAAATAGAGGGAAAGTGTGAAGAGATACAATGGCTCATATTGAGGAAAGGTCTCATGGGTTGGATTTATTTCCTTTTGAAGTTTGAAACCACAATTACAAATTCTGAATCATGTCTATATTCTTGGCAGATGGTAGGCAGTTGGTAAGATCAATGACCAACCTGACTGTGAGAACCTTGTGTTTCTCTTGAGCTCCTGAAATGCACTAAGGTCCCACCCAACTGCCCTCTATCAAGTGAGTCAAATAGCTTATTTGATTAAGGAAAAGGATGAACTAAAGCCAGCAAAATATTATTGTCTCCATAAATACACACTAACAGGAGTTGGGGTTTCATATTGGTTCAGTAGGTTTTAAAAAACTAAATAATAGCGTAAAAAAAAAAACAACATGGTATATGTTTTCAAGTACCTGCGAAATGAAACTTTAGAAAAACTAGCAACCACTTCCTGAAAGTTAAATAACTTATGTGGCAGAAGCTGACATTTACAAACAGCTTACAATGTGCATGTGCTCTGCTAAGTGTTTTAATTTTCATGAGAAACCCAGGACAAAGGTGCTATTAGTATCTCTATGTCACAGGTGAGAAAACTGAGGCACAGAGGATTACACAAATAATAAATGGTTGAGTTAGGGCTGCTGTGCAGGAAGACTGCAGACATTTTCAATACCCAATTGCTATGTGAAGTAGGGAATGTGAGGGAAAAAAACGTCCTAAACTTAAAACACTGTGAGAGATTCAAAAATGGTCCCTGGAAACAGATGTCATCTGAGTTTTTGTAAATGATTTCATGAACTGACACGACTGATAGGGCATCTTGTACTAGCATTAGTCGTCACCTCTTCTCCTGTTTATAATTCTTCAACTCAGTAGAACCATCTCCACCTTTCACGGCAAACAACGTTCCTTCATTCTTGTTCTCTGTAGATCAATCCTGGGGACCAAGTCAACCTAACTAATCTCTCCTCTGTCACAGAGTTCCTGTTGTTGGCATTCTCCAGCCTTGGAGAAATCCAGCTCATTCTTTTCACTGTTTTTCTGTGCTTATATGTGATTATCCTGAGTGGGAACATCACCATGGTCACTGTCGTCCACCTGGATCGCAGCCCCCACTTACCCACGTTCTGCTTCCTAGGGGTTCTCTCCATCCCTGAGACGTGTTGCACCTTTGTCGTCCTGCCCAAGCTGCTCATAAACCTGTTGTCTCTGCTCAGAACAGTCTCGTTTACCAACTATGCCACTCAGATGTTTTTCTCCCTCGGTTTTGCTGTCAGTGATTGCATGCTACTGGGTGTCATGGGCTACGACCACTGTGCTGCCATCCATCATCTACTTCGCTACTCTGTCCTTATGAGCTGGCAGGTATGTGGACAACTGGCGCCACTTGTGCTATGATTGTTTTTTTGTTCTCACTGATAGGCTCCCTTTCAGTCTTTGAACTACCTTTCTGTGGCCCCAGCAAGATCAACCATGACTTCTGTGACATCTCACCGGTTATCCGGCTTGTCTGTACCAATATGTACATAAATGAATCAGTCATCTTCATTGGTGGAATTCTAGCACTCATGGTCCTCCTGACTTTTATTTGCATCTCGTATGGCTTCATTGCTCATACCATCCTGAGGATCCCGTCTTGTCATTGTATTTACAAACATACTTGTACGACAACTATTCTAATATTTTTATTCATTCCTATAACAGTAGGAATAGTCCTAATTGTAATAAAAGTGAAAAGTAATTGGTAATAAAATCTATGGTAAGGAAATACAGGAAAGCTGTTCCTTAAATGCTTAACATCTAAAAAACACAATGATATTTCTAAATTTTTACTTAGGTTTTTACAAAGCTTGGGCCATTCATTGGCTTTGGACTTTCGTATCTACAAATGAGATGGTGGCTTTATTTAAATGAGCACATGCTAAGCTTCAGTGGAAAAATAGAAGATGGGAGAAAGTAGGAGAGAGAGAGAGACAGAGAGACAGGGGGACAGAGAGAGACGCACAGAGACAGAACAAACTACAAACTGTGAAAGGAAATGAAAAAAGTGAAATTTAGAAGACAAGAAAACAAAGACAGGTAAAAATGATGAATTAGAACTGAAACAATTAGAAGGGAGCAAGGGAAGGACTGGAAAGCCCATCAAGTCAAAATATATTCACAATTTCCGACTTCATCTTCTGTGCTCAAACATGCATTTATTCAATTATCTTTTCAACTAATATTTATGAAGCACCTACTATGTGCCAGACACAGTTGAATGTACAGATGGTACATTAGTAAATTGGACAGATAAAAATCTCTTCTCTCAGTTTAATGGAGAAGAAAAAGCTGTCATCATTTCAAATAATCCTTGAAAAATGTGCATTTGTGCATACACATGTGAACAGTTACACACACACACAAACAGGAGGTCAACAGATAACCATAGGCAAGAGTGTGAGAAGAACTCTGTAGAAACCATCTCCTGATTCAGGCATGAAGGCATCATACATATTTTTTAATTAACCCAAGCCCCATCTTCCCTGGATCCCCTTCTTTTGCAAAGTATGGTCTTCTTGAGTGCTGCCTTTACTTCACGGTTTCTCAGGCAGTAAATAATGGGGTTGAGGAATGGGACGATGACAGTGTAGAGCACAGACACCCACTTGTTGGAACTGTAGGCATACATAAGCTTAGGGCGGGCGTAAGTGAACAGGGTCGTGGAATAGAAGAGAATTACAACTGTCAGGTGAGAGGCACAGGTGGAAAATGCCTTTTGGCGTCCCTGAGCAGAAGGGATCCTGAGGATGGTGGTGAGAATGGTGGTGTAAGATGCTACCACTACGCAAAGGGGAACAGCAATGACCATGAGGGCCAGGAAGAAGTCCACTAGCTCAGCCCGTGAGGAGTCCTCACAGGAGACATTGAGAAGGGGAGAAATATCACAAAAGTAGTGATTGATACGAGGCGTGCCGCAGTAGTGGAGTTGAGCTATGAAAACCATCTTAATCATGGCAGTTATAAGTCCACAGAACCAGCATCCCCCAGCCAGTGTGCCACAGAGCTGGTTGGTCATGATGACGGGGTACCGAAGTGGATTGCATATGGCTACATAGCGGTCAAAGGCCATGACGGTGAGCAGGATGTACTCAGTGCAGACAAAGGTCACAAAGAAGTAAAGTTGAGTCATGCAGCCATTGAAGGAAATGGTCTTGCTGTGGCTGAGGAAGTCTCCCAGCATCCTGGGGCTGATGACAGTGACATACCACATCTCCAGGAAAGAGAGGTTGCTCAGGAAGAAGTACATGGGTTTGTGTAACTGCCCGTCGCTGCGAACGGCTAGGATGATTAGAAAGTTCTCCAGAAGGGTGAGCAGGTAGGTTGCCAGGAAAACAAAGAAGAGGAGCAGCTGAAAGGCTGGCGGTGTTGGAAATCCCAGAAGAATGAAATGTGTTGCCACTGTATGGTTATCTCCTTCCAGAACCATGGTGATCATGACTGGCTGTGGGCACAGACAATATCAGCTCCTTCCACGTCCCAGGCACCAGCCTATCATTATCGACATTTGTAGAGCTCACCGCCTGCCAACTCATCACAAGAGAAGCTTTCCTGCCTTTAGATCTTTACTTCCTTCTAAATTATGATTAGAACCAAAAGAAAAAATTAAAAAAAATAATGATTAGAATCAAAACTTTTGAGTCAAAATGTACTTTAGGGAGTGTGTCTGTTTATTTATTTATTTATTTTCAAATTAAGCTGAAAACTTATCCAAAGTCACACAGAAGTGAAACAGGAGCCCCCTGACTCTCAATTTTATACTTTTCCAAGACATCACCACTGGACACAGGAGGATGACCATCATATCACTCTTTCACCATAAGCAAGACATTTTCATCTACTGCATATGGAAAGAAGGCAGGGGACTCAGTTGCTCATTCTCTAGGTGTAACTTGTATAAGTCACATGACCCCACTGATTTGTAAACTGGGTAGAATCCCTTTTTTTTTGACCTAACAAGATTGTAAAGCTTGGATGAAACAAGACTTGAGCAAACACACAGGATTCATAGCAAATTTGATATGAATATTCACCAGCTTCTCAGAGAACAAAATTGAATGGATAATTTAAAAGGTAGTCATTCCCTTGATTCAATGCACTGTGTAGGGGACTTGATTACAAGTCTGAAAAAAAGTACATTTAAATCGTACTTTTGCCCCACTCTAGCGAAGTGAGTATATTACATAAGCTTTTAGAATATTAGTTCTTTAATTTCTAAGGTGGATTCAATATAATTATACCACATTTTGTGAACATCTAATGAGTCTGAGTTTAAATTCACTAACTGCTAAATATAAAATAGATAAACAACAGATTCCTTCTGTATAGCACAGGGAACAATATTCAATATTCCTAGAAGAACCCTAGCTGAACTGCACAGTTACAATAATTGCTCTAGAAAATAAAAGAATGCAATGTAGCCTTAGACTGCAGGAACAGATACAGTCATTCTCAGAGTAGATGCTTCATACTTGAACCTGGAAATAAAAAACAGCTCATTTAATTTTTAAGACTAAGAATTAATTTTTTAAAAAGTGGGGGATATTGTCATAGAAACTATGCGTTCTTTCATTCTTCCTCTGTTTCCAACAGAAATATTAAAGTCCAGACGCAGTATCACCAGATGAATGAGCACAAAATAAAGATACAAAGAAATAAGAGGAAAAGAAGGGAGTATGATTGTATTTGATCTGTAAAACTCTCTCTATATACAATATGTATTGTATATACATAAATAGATATTAAAGATATAATGGTTGTATTTTGAAAAATGGGAAAATTAATGTACAGGGAGTATGCTTCGCCAGAAGTCAAATGCAATGCAAATCTAATAGGGGGGTCCAGGTTACAAGTCTCCAAGACTAGATCATCTTAGTCACATCTTGTAGCTTCCAAGACCGTTCACACAGTCTGTCTGGCAGACACACGAAGAAGAGAGCAAGGTTCACATAGTTAGCAGCCTTCCCTCCCAAAGAAATTTCACAGCAAATGGATCCCTGAGGAGGACATGCTGAGTATTCGACAGCCTTTTCACAGCCGGATGATACCTCGCATTCGCCTAGCACTTTATAATATCACTATATAATTTAATATAAAGAACGTTATTTCATTTGATCATCAAAATCAGGAGGTTAGTTAGGGCAAATGTCACACTGCCCACCTGCCCCGGAGATATTACATATTTAGCTCAAGGTCACACTCAAGGTAACTAATTGCTTAATGACTGAATCGAAATAAAATATCTACTTTTTTTTTTTATTCCCTGTTGCTTTTTCTGTATGAGTAGGCAGAGGATGATCTATGAGTTGAGTAAGGGTTTTTTTTTTTTAAACTTCTTCTGAGCAATAACTGTGCCTTTGTGAGACCGACACACTGCTGAACACACAAAGAAAGAAGCTTTAAACTGTACCTTTGGAAACAGCTTTAAATGCACCCTGGCTGAGGAATAAAAGTTTAGGGAGTGAAGAATCAAGGTGGCAGGATAACAGCCAAGCTCCGGGTGAAGGTCCCGGCACTCTGGACCTCAAAGATACTAGCTAGCAGCAGCTCTGTTCCTCGTAGCCCACTGTCAGCTCTCCACTGTGGACCTAGCTCATAGAATAACAGTATTTTTAACCCAGTAGGATTTTAACTCAACTTTCTTTTTTTCCCTTTTTCGTATTGCAGAAGTGAATCCCAGAGTTCAAAACTGTTTTCCTCAATGTCAGACAACTATGTAGTGGCAGAATAGCAATTTATTGATGACATTTCAGCCCTTGGCAAACTTTAATACCTTATCTTACACATCCCATTTGATTTAACTGGTTCTGTGGACCAACAGACCAAGCGTAAGAAGGATATTTCATCTTAAATTTTAGCTTGATTTGAACAGAATTCTAAATGTTAGTGTGAGTCTTACAATCATAAAATTTTTCAAAAGACTGTATTTCATAAGCTTTCACAATGGCCCATTGAATTAATTATACACACACAAACATACGTGCTTAAAAAATAGAAGGGCTACATTCAGAAAACGAATATATGTATGTGTATGTATGACTGAGACATGATGCTGTACATTGGAAATCGACACATTGTAAACTGACTATACCTCAGTAAATAAATAAATAAACAAATAAATAATGAAAGGTTACATTCAGCTCAAGAAACACAGGATCTTAGAACTGCAAGGAACCTGATGGGTCAAATGGTCTCACTCCTTGCTAATCTTGTGAACTTCCAGCGCATAAAGTATTCACATAACCTTTGCCTAATCCTCTCCAGGAAGAGAAAACAATATTTACAAATATAGCCATACTTAAAAAAAAAAAAGAAACCTCTGATTGGGACATACAGGGCTTTCTCCAATGTAACACAATGCTGCCACATGCACGGGTTCTGCTTCTATTTTCTGAAGCTTCAAAGAGTAAGTCCCATGATTTTGTCCAAGGATAGCGTTCACTCTTTGAACACAGCTGTCAGCTCCATGAAACCTCAACGCTCCCCCGCCACTGATCTATTACTCCTGCCTCATGTCCTCATGACTTTCTTTCTCTAGAGTAAAACATTCATTTTATCTCATATATATATATATATATATATACACACATACATACATACATACATATATATGTGAAATCTGGTTGTTAGTCCCCTTGAAGTTTGTGGTCATCCTCTTTAGATGATCCCAGTTTAACTGCAGCATTCGATGGGGAGCAATATCAGAGTGCTGTGGCAATATGCATGGAATTTAAGGCTTAATTTCATTCTGAAAACAGTCAATAGGAAGAGCTTTATCCCACTGAGCCTTCCAACAAAGAGGGCCACGATGTCCAGGTTCTGATTTCCCAGGGAGGGTGTAAATGGCTTCCCCAGTAGTCAATGGGCCATCGGTACAGTGACCGTGCTGGGATTGGAAAGGGATGTGCTCTGTAGTTTGCGGAGAAACAGATACCTAAGACTAGAAGTGAGGGACAAGGGAGGAAAAGTATGCGGTCAAAGCACTCCCAGAACTTGAGGCATTAAGAGTTGTCATGCCAGCTCTGAGGAGACTGCTGTGGCCAAAACGAAGATCCCAGGAATCTCCAAAGCAGGACACAGGCAGTGAGAGATGTGACAGAATAATCATTTGTGGTCAGCTTACCGACTCCTGCAGGGCGATGAGAAAATGGTATAGACTGGTCAGAAGGGGGCCTTCCAGTCTTGGCCCGTCAATGGTAAGACATTTTCTAAAGGGGGATAAACACTCCAAATCAGTTTAAAAAAGACGTAATTCTAGTTCATCTCCCTTTTCCCAGAAGCTCTTAGGAACAGATATGCTTAAGGTGTATAGGAATTGCAGTCCCCAAGTTTGTAACAGGACAGTATAATTGTCTGCCATGTAGTGACCCCTCTGCACCCCTAGGTCTCTGCTATGAGTTGATTTTGAAGATTCTAAACAAAAAAGTCTCTATCATATTCCAGGTCCCATACATCCTCTATATCTTTTCAAAACCATGACATATTTTGAAATAATTTTCCATCTAGGTAGTTTTAGAAAAGTGGCTTAATTTCTATAGTTCTCATCTCGAATGCAATTAATCTTTGCAGTTTATTTCAGGATCCCAAATTGAGGATACATGTGACCACATGATGAATTTTCTGAATAATCTGCACAAGGAAAAAGGAATCTTACCTTCTTCCTCTCATGGTACTATGAAGAGAAGTGAAATCTTCTTTATCTTCTAAGGAGCTGCAAGTCATCAAAACTGCAGCCACTGTCACATTTACCAGCCTCTGTCCTTACTTAACATAAAAACAGACGTACATACTTACATACCTGGATTTCAGCCATCACTCTCCACATACACATTTAGTTGTGTGCTCTCATGCATTCATTCTCTTTTCTCTGGTTTCTCTCTTTCCATCTCTTGAGTCAGAGGACCCCTGGACTATGCACTTTGCAAGGCATAGAACTGGGCTGATGCATTAAATTGAGGAATCTTCAAGAAATAAGACCACTGGGCAATGTTAGAGAATCAGGATTTTTTTGTCTAGATTGGGTTCTTCAGTAGAGTCTTAAAATGACATGATAACCTATGTTACACAATACCTCTGAATCCCTAACATCTTTCCTCTGGCTTAATCCACATGAAATCCTTGATAAATTGAAATTAATCTATATACATACTTAGTTTAGGGCCCAACTACACATGGTTGCTACACTACTAATCATAGGCTCAAAGAAGACAAGCTATTTTTTTAAATCTGTGAAATGAAAGCTCCAAGAATCAATGATTTAAATAAAAGTGATTTTCACTTATTCCTTGCTTCCCTTCATAAAAATAAATAATTAAAATCTGGCCAAATTTCCCTTTTGGAAATATCTGAGAGTCGTTTTTCAACTCACTATTTTCTCAGCAATATAATTTACGAAACTTTCCCCAACCTCATTCAGGCATGGCCAGCTTGTTCGGAGAA